CACAGATATGCCCAGAGACTTGTAAATCCTGTGACGTTGACAGTGCCCATTAAACACCATACCTGCTTAAATGCGATAGAACACTCATTTAAAATGATCAGATGAATCAATCAAAAGTACAGCTTTGGGATTTAAAATATTCCATGTATTGGCTCCCAGTTTGACATAGACAGTAAATTAGAGAGTTTAAGAAAGAGATGAGTTTGGGATGAGCCATGGCTTGTTTGTTTGTTTTTGTTTTAAGGGACTGGTATCTATCTAAAACCTGAGATTTACAGAGTTAATTGAGGATTTCTTGAAAGGTGAAAGGTGGAAGAAAGAGCCTCTGGAGGACCAGCACCACCATGGGAGAAGGAGCGTAGGTTGTGCTGTAGAAAGGTCATGGGGAATCAGCCAGGGTGGGCAGGCTACTGCGTCAGCACAGTTCTCTTCTGCGGGAATCACAGAAAGCATGCTTCTTCCTCAGTTCTTCTACATGGTAGGCTTGGCCTGCACCCCTGAGTCTAACTGACCAGTGGGACGAGCTGGTGTCGAATGCACCTTTACACCAATGGAGCCCTGGTTTCTGTTGCTCCTCACGTCTTTCTGTGTGAGGCACACACAGTCGTGTGCTTCTCAAAAAAGATTTTCACGTGCAAGAAGACAGAAATGTCCACTACCCAGATCAGATCACTATATGTGAATCAAGCTGTCAGGTGTACTCCACTAAATTTGCCAGATCTCAAGGAATAGTCATCGTCCAAGGAAAAGATGCTTCGCTCTTGCCTCCTTAGCAAATGGAAGATGCACTTGAGTTTAAAATACCGGTTCTCAATCTGTAGGTTGCAACCCCTTTGCATGCCACATATCACATATCCTGCATGTCAAATATTTGCATTGCAGTTCCTAACAGACCAAAACTACAGTTAGGGAGCAGCAACAGAATCATTTTCTGCTTGGGAGTCAGCACAGCACGAAGAACTGTATAGAAGGGTCGCAGCATCAGGAAAGTCGACAACCACGGTCTAGAAGATGAACCACAGAAAAAGAGAAGTAACTTTCTCAGTGCTTTGTGGGTCTGAGAGTTCAAGACCATGAACCTCACTGACGCACTTGAATAGTGTAATGACCAAGTCGTCACGCTGGACTTTGCTGGATCACGATCAATACTTCCTTATGGATGGTTGCTCACTGTTTCTGCCACCTACAGTCTGTAGTTTTCACCAATACTAGAAGAATTTTTCTGTAAAGCACAGCGAAGTTATTAAAGAGCCATTCTCACATAGTTTATTTACTGTAGTAAATAAGGGAAAAACTACATTGGTGTTACTTTTTGAATGTGATAAAAAACAAAACAAAATGAAAAACTGTTTTCAAAGCAAGCACAGTAATGTGCCTTCTTTAACAGAAATCAGCATTGGTGCCTTAACCTGCTAAATGAAATGGCATTTCCTTTTCAATACACGATTAACTGTGAGTTACTTTTCTTCGTTGTGGAGCTGCTTACATCTTAATTAGGACTGATGGAGTTTCTTAAGCGCCATCTTTTCTGTCCTTGCCTTTAGCAGCTGGGATCTACTGTAAGAACTGACACAGGTCGCCTACTCAACCCCAGGATAACAAAAGCCATCCATCCCAGACTTCAATGGTGGCATTTAGCCAACTGGGAAATGGCCCCTGTGCACTTGGACTGAAGTCCAAGCCAGAGTCATTTTAACCAGCAGAATGGCTGTTGCAACAAAACCACAGAAGCTACCCAGCGCAGCACTGAGGGAACTAGGAAGTAGCAGAGGTGGAGTCAAAGACACTGAGTATCATGGGCCTCAGACTGCAAATACAGGCTTGGGGTCATCGGTTCAGAAGTTTTCCTTTCCAAATGCCCGACAATATACCCCTTATAAAACTCTTGCCACCAGATGAGCTCGGCCGAATGCCAGTGCGGTCTCAGATCTGTTCCATGCTACTGAACTATACCAATTGTGGAACGGAGCTTTATTAAAGAGAACAGGAAGTGTGTTGTGGCCAAGGCAATTTGTAGTGGTCTGAAAACACCGACTTCTCAGAAAGGAAATTCTTTTTAAATGTATTAATACCCTTAACAAATAGGATTCTTCATACTTCTATTTTGACCAAGTTACTTGTGTTCTGTGCAAGTGCTTTAAACAGAGTTAAAACAAGTGGAAAGGCACCAAAGTTTTGAAAGCTCAAACCTCATGGAGGCCTTTTGGTTTTTTTTTTTTAAATGAGTGTTTCAGTTTTATACTGAAACATAATGGTTAGCGTGTCGTGTCTCGCACACACATACATGGTCACAGTCCTCTTATGCCGTGCTTGTGTTGTACGAGGTATCTGGCATGCATAGAACATGCAAAATAAAGTTCTAGATTTGTCACATGGTTTCATAAGTCACAGTGATCTTATTTAGTGAAGGATCAACGTCATTTTATGACCACGGGTCATCAGAAATCCTTCTAGCTTCATGTGTTGCTCATGGCTAGTAATTTACATATTTGTCTATGTTCAACATGCTAAATAACTGGTGTAATACCGTGGGAATCTTGATTTGTAGTGCTTTCTGAAACTGAAGCAAGTAACCCTGTGTATTGTGAGTTGTCTTTCCAAAGTCATTCCTGGGTCACTGAAGTCTAAACAATAATCCCCAAGACTAAGTCTAGACTAAGCTGTTAGTATTCACAGAGAGACTAACAATAAAGAAACAACTTGAAGGAGGAAATCAGACAAGGAACTATAAATAAAAAAATTCAAGATAACTCCAATCTTGCTTCGTTGCATTCTGCACAGAAACAACCACTTCCTGGTCTGTCTGGAGACCTCTGCTTCATCTGCAAGAACTCCACTTGCTCTCTCTGTCTGCTCTTGGTTTAACTTGGCAGTCCCAGCTCTTGCCGGTGGTGATATTTTGCTTGGGCTGTAACAAATAAAGCTTGCCGGAGGACCAGAGTGTAGTGTGAGCCACTAGCTAGCCATAGAGGCCCGGCGATGGTGGCACATACCTTCAATTCCAGCACTCGGGAAGCACAGGCAGTGGATCTTTAAATTCAAGGCCACCCTAATCTACGTGAGATTGAATCAGTCTAAGGGAGAAGCAGAGCAGCAGATGGGATCACACACCTTTAATCCCAGCGTATAAGGCAGGAGGAGACAGGAGCTCAGAGCATTCAATCTGAGGATCCGTAGGGACAGAATGGCCCCATTGGTTTAAGGATTCAGTAGTGGTAAGAACTAGTGTGGCTTTGCTCCACACTCTGATCTTTAGGCAAGCTTTATTTGTTAGAGCACAAGCAAAATATCACCACACTTGCATCCTCTTTTCTGTAGATACCATGAAGTCCTGGAGCCTGGTGAGCTAACCTCTTAGCAGTATTTTAAGTTGAACATTACTTTTACTGAACGAAATATCTGGAACACCACATTTTTCATCGTTTTTATCCTCTGATCACAGAATCATGTGACATTCTTCCTCTTTCACAACGTCAAAGCCCATGCTTCCCACATAGACACACAACACGCATGTGCGTACTCCCACAGGCATACCCATGTATCACATGCACCCACACGTGCACAGGAATACACAGATTGACACACTACAGGCATGCACAAGCTAACCGTGCACAGCTCACAAACTTAGAGCATATATACACTCACTGTATTAGCATACCCTATGTATAACCACAACCACACACCCACACTTCCTGTATAGAGGCACTCATGCATTACACGAGTCACACACTCACTGAGTCACTTGCCACACCCATGCACAGCAGAGACACTGATGTGCTTGCCTACAGTCACACGTCCTTACCCTGAACACACACTGCAGGCATATACTCAGGAAAAAATTCAACAGCTATCCAGTTCAGCACCCTACTGAACATTGAGGTTATGGCAGTGGCAATAAGTGGGACTTGCATCAGGTGTGAAGGGGAAATTTGAAGAAAATAGTAAGTCTGAAATCAGGATGAAAGGAATGATGGACACAATGCTGCTGTGGCTGACAGCTGGCTACAACACCGTGAGCTCAGAAGACAAAAACTCCAAAACCACCCCGTCCCTTGTACTCACTTCTCCCAAACTAACAGTGCGTTTTGAGATTTTCATTTGTTTCAACCACCAATCCAGGAGCATGCCTTTCATCAGGACAAGTTTATACAAACTGTAGTGTGTATCTCAGAAACTATGAGGAGTCTATTCAGGGAGTGTGTGACCTAAAATCTCCTCCATGGTTGGTACCATGGTACCGCCAGTCATTTTCACCACACCACCATGAAAATGGACAGACTGAAGGAAGCTGGTGGCCGTGATGCAATCGTGTTAGAAAAGTTATGAGCCAGAACCTGGAGACACATCGAACAACAATAACCTCTGAAATCCTATTCAAAGGCTTCATGAGGGATTTTACATATCAGTTTATGTGTATCTGTTTAATAGAACGCTGTTTGTATAAACAGCTATTTGTTTAAATTTGTGAATTTTTTTTTACTTATTTCAACAGAAAATAACATTTAAAACATGACCTTTTTTCTTCAATGTGCAAGTTTATTTTGCTTTCTTCCCCTTACTTAGCTATGTTTGTAAACACACACACACAAACACACACACACATACACACATTTCCTAAAAGGGGATACGTTTACATGGTACTATTTACAATAGGATCTTGTAAGCTCTTCAAATCCATCCCAAATTTATTTTAACATGAACAGTAACAAAAGATGCTAATAGAAACAAGTTATAAACACAGATGTTCACATTCTTTTTCCCCTCAATAATAAAACGGATTGTTAAACTTTGAGCTACACAGATGAAGCAATAACTATGGGAATGCTAGGCGTACGTTTAGGGCTGTTTGGCTCTTTCTTCTTTTAAAGGGATTGAAATATAAGGGTTGGGGAAGCTTCTTCACCCTGCTCTGTTACATTAAGCCCCCGTGTTTTGGGGATAGTGGTCCGCTCCATGCATTCAAGATGGAAGGCTTAATTTCTTTTCCTGGTTCCTCCCAGACAGCCACGGTTTCTTGGGATATCCGAACACTGTATTCGACGGTACCCGAAGAGGCCGAGAACAAAGCAGAAAGCTTGCTGGTGAAAGAGGTAAGCGCGGTGCTCTCATTTATTTCCCTCTAAAGTGTTCGCTTCCACCCATACCCACCATGTCAGGCAACCTCAACATGCTTTTCTGCTCCCGTTCTCCCGCGTGCTCATCTGCAATAGAGACTGTCACAGATTGTCTCAGTCTCCATTTCAGTCTGCGTCTCCTCTGGGCCACCTTCCATCTTTCTGTCGCCATTTTTGATTATATGGCAGCTGCTCTGTTTTAGGTCTTTTGCTTGTTCTTTTCTTTAAACCTTCACACTGAGAAGTATCTGACTCTCTTTAGTAGAAAGATCTAGCTTTGTTTTGCTTATTCATGCTGCAATTGAAAACGAAGCAGGCTGTGTTCCATGAGAGTCTTGGATTGTAGAGTATCTGCTTTTAGAAATATAGTTATTTCTGCTGGGAGCTATGGAAAACGCTGATGATAAATCTCTCTGGACAGCTTGAGGAACTGATTTAAAAATCTGTTGAAAACACATATTTGAATTCAGTGGATGAAACAATTTCTTCATCTTCTAACCAGACATCAGGCTGCTTTGGGGTTGGGCCAGCACACAGCAGCTAAGAAGCAGAACTTTACTGAATGAACCCAGCCCCTCCTTTACACACAGCAAAGGGTTAAAGTGCAGTCCAGCTCAGATTATTTGGAAGAGGAAGGGTCTAAAGGTCCTCTGTACTCTAAAATGTGGCGTGTCCTGTTTAGGATGAAACTTCTATGACGGTTAATTACCAAGTTGGAGCATTTAACTAGGTCCTCTTACAGGTCATTGAGTAAAAACTGCAGGTTCTTTTTAAGACCCCGAATTTGATTGCTAGATTTAGTTCCTGATACCTTTTGGATTTTCTTTATAAAAGAGAGTAGACTCTTTAAAGCAATTTACTTTTCTTCCTGTTAATTGCTGATATATTTAGCATCTTTTAAGCTATTGATTTTAATATGAATGACTCTATGGTAATTTTATTTTCAGGTTTGTAGTTATATCATTTTCAGATTATTAGATTTTTCTTCTTTTCAAATAAGCTTATTATTTCCTTAATTTTTGTCTCATTGTATTATCAATATCCCTAAAATAATGTTGGATAATAATGCTAATACTGAATGTGCTGTTTTGCTGTCTGACTTATTTTTGTTTTAGGAGGAAGCCATTATTATTTTTTCTATTTTATAAACTACTGGCTGTTATATTGTTTTCTGGCATTGTATAATTGTTTTTAAAGAGATGTCTTCCTAAGATCCTTTGAAGTGTTTTCAAATGGTTTTACCAGAGAATCTAATCAGTCTATTGTTATGCAGCTTCTCTGATATAATTCAGCACTGAGGTAGAATTCATAATTTTTTGCATGTTTATTTGCATTCTGATATGAAAGCTCATATTTTTGTCCATGGTGTGCTATCACCCTAATAAGCTTTTGCCCCTTTCCCACTGTTTTACTACGAGCTTTTACATCTATAGGCATAAGCAAATTTGTATCTTATGCATGAGCAAATTTGTATCAATAGACATCAATAAAATTTACTTCTGGCTTCCGCTTCATTTTGTTGGCAGTATAGAAAAATCTAGCCTTAAAAAATAAATTGGGGATACAGATATAGTGTATATGGTAGTTGAACGATTGACTAGACACTACTAAAATACCTAGGGAACAAAAGCATAATTTTATAAGGATGTAATGAATGTAGAGAAGAAACCCCACGTGACTTCCTAAGCCCTGATGCCATGTAACTACATGGATGCCACCGGATGGCCTTGGATTCATTGTACAAAGAAAACTGTGTCCCAGTAGCAACGACAGGAAAAAGCCGTGTTGAGTGAGCCGGGTCTGCTTGCTGAGCGTGAAACCAGCAAGGTCAGCTTTAGAGAGGTCCTTGTACACGTGCTAGCCAAAGAATGCATGCATTCACCTACGAGTTTCACTGTGCTGACAGCTCCCCAAGAACCCCCAGTTCCCACCTGGACCTGAAACTGCACTCAGCACGCTGATATCCGCAGGGTTCCCCGAGTGCTAAATAAAATAGGACATGGTAAGCTGCTAGTGTTTTCCGTGCCTTTAGCTCAGGTAGAGAAACTTTCCTGTACGGCCACTGCCTGTGAGGAACCGAACCCGAGATAACTGCAAAGCTGATCATCTTGCTCTTTGGTGGAGCCATCAGGATTGAAATTTGTTGTACAAATGAAGCAAATTTTCATCAACTAGGAAACAAATATTCCAAATTTTTAAAAAAAAATGGATACACCATAATTTTTCCATGTTATTCAGCAAACAAACACGGGGAACAAAACAGTGCCTGGGGCAGATGATTGATGAGCAAATGCCCGCAGAGGCCCTAGCAACGAAGGCTTTTTTGTCCATTTTGGAAGACTATTTTGAAAGTTCTCTTCCTTTATTACATAAGGAAGAAATTCTACATGAAGGTAAATTTAAAATAAAAAAACAAAAGTAACAAAAGTGTGGGAAGACGTTTTTTAAACGGGAATGAAAAGTGACAGATTTTACTCTGGAAAAACTGTCAATTTCTGCATGACAAAGAGTACCCTAAACTAAAAAAAGTTAAAGCTGTCACACAAACTCTATAATTTCTTCTGATAGATGCACAATGCATATACATTCCTAGCAGTCAAAATCCAGCAAAAACTGTAAAGATCCGTTTTAGTTTATTTGTGTGCATGTGTGCCTGTGTGAGTTGCTGTGTACCGTGAACATGCAGATGCCCGTGGAGACAGATTCCCAGGAACTGGAGTTATGTACGGTCGCAAAGTGACTGAAATGAGTGCTGGGAACCAAACGTGGGCCCTCTGCAGAAGCAGTGTGCTTGACTACCGAGCCATTCAATACTCAGAATTCTACAGATTTTAATATTACAAAGGCAACTCAGGAGGAAACGTGCAAAAGATATAGGTAGGCAAATGCGGTTAGCTAAGAGGTATGTGTTAGTAGTCGTGGAAATACTAATAGAAGCAGAATTTATATATTATATCTGAAGGACCAGAAAAAAGTAAAATGATTTTATCATGGCGATAGTATAGGGAAAAATGTCAGTACAACAGTATTCAAAGTATAGCTGTAGCTTTTGAAATGTAACCCACAAGTAACTTTAAAGTGTTATGTATAAATATGTATAAATATGAAAACAAGCTTAAACATATGCAGATATAATTAGAAGCATGTATATTACTGATTGGTAAAATTTAAAATATCAATCAGAACTCTGTTTAAAACATTTTGTTAGACGTGTGTGTGTGTGTGTGTGTGTATTGTAATAATACACAGCCAATGAAATATATGCATTTAAGAGCCAGGCATTGTGGTGTACGTCATTAACCCCAGCAGCACTCAGGAAACAGAGGCTAGCCTAGTATACAAAGCAATTTCCAAGATAGCCAAGGCTACATAGAGAAAGCCCATCTTGAAAACCAAAAAGAAAAATTATAGAAAATTTATATGTATGTGTGTGTGTGTGTACACACACATAAGTACATGAATAAATATGCATTCAAAATATTAGGCCTTGTAGGGCAAAGATATATACATATGTACATATGTGTGTGTATCTGTATGTATACATATATATATACATATATATATATACCTCATAATTCTGTGTTCTTATAGTATTAAAAGTAGATTTTAAAAATTTAAGATATTTTGTAAGTAATTAGAATTTATTTGTGAATGCTGCCAGAATTGGAACCCAAGTCTGTGGCCAATGAACCCAAATCACACAACCAGTTCAAAACCTATACCACCAACCTCTCATATCATCAAGTCCACAAGTGTAACGTTGCTGCCTGGAAGCCAGGTCTGTCCAGCACAAGAGAACGCCAAGGAGTGTGGTGCTCCTCGCGGTCAGCCGTTCCTTGTGTTTCCAGAGCCCCTGCACCACAGCTCCCAACATCACTGGCTCTTACCATTCCCTAAGGTCACCTTCCTTCTGCTGCCAACAGGCTGACCGCAAAATCTGCCTTTCTCTTCTTACTTTTCCTGTAGAGAAATTCTTTACCTTTGTATTTGTTCCACGTTAATTATTACCTTCTGGCTGTTCTCAGGCACCTCTCTCTTGTACACTCAGCCTCCTTCTTCTTCAAAGAGAAGAATTCCTTCAAATAAGGGAAAAACTTGGAAGAAATCATTTTATTTTCATTAACTTTTCTGCATCATCCTCTGCAAGAAGCTCCTGAATTGGTTTGAAGGATGGAGCTGAAGCGGAGTTTGGTCTTGACAGTCTGGGAAGCTAGAACATCTTACTTACAAGAGTCCCCCATTAGCAAGGGAACATCAATAGCCAGGCCTGCCTGTGGGTGGCAGATCAAAAAATAAATAGTTCCCAGAGAGCTGCTTTAAGATGGAGAAATGCCCCCAGAGAATATGCTGGCAAAAAGGCTTGACCTCAGATCATAATAGCAGCCAATCATTACTGCCTATTGCTTTGTGTCAGATAGGCATCTAAATCATTCACTTACAATAATTATAAACAAACGATAGAGCAAAGCAACATCCTTTAAGGATGAGGAAAACACATCATAGAAAGACAAAGAAACTTGAGCAGGCAGCGTCATACAGATAGGAATACGGTCAGTATCTGGCCCCAGGCCCCTGAGCCCAAGCCCCTGGACTTTTGATTGACAGTGTTAATGACCAGTCTGAAGTTTTGCCCTAGTGTCCTCTGGAATGAATCTTCCCTAGCAACTGCGCTGTAGCCTCTGTCCAGTCTCTGGCATATATAACCAGCAGACTACACGTGGGGAACACTGCTGAGACCAGATAAAGCAAGTACAGAAGTAGACCCAGACATTTGCACGACGTTTTGCAGCAGCTCATCTATTTCCCCATGGCTGCTATATTGAGCTTCCTTCTTGGTCCACCCTGTGTTAAATTGCCTAGGGACTCCATGCGCTGGCAAGGACAAATGTCGTGGTTGCTAAGCAACAAAATGGAAAGCATCTAGTTTCAATACATCCAGCTCAATAAAAGTCTTGAACTCTTTCTCTCACATTACT